TTTTTTTTTTTTTTTTTTTTCTTTTTATTCAAGGTGGACGGTACAAAAACATTTCTAAATACTAACTCTCTTCTCACCATTAAATACTGCTCTATTTGTCTAACTTTAATTGGTTTAATTTGATTTTTTGACTTTTTAAATATTTATATTTTTTATATTATCATTAAGTGAAAAATTGATAGTTGTTTTGAGATGCGAATTAAGAAATAACTACATTGGTAGCTAAATTCGTTCTTCCAGCTTCGAGGATGACGAATTTGAACTTCTCCACTGACGATAAATAAAAAATGAAAAAAAAAAAAAGAGAGAGGAAAAACTAGGAGGTTCTAGTTAGTTCATAAAATCATACTACCTTGGTTAAAATTTAGTTGGCTTAATTTAACTCTTTTTGACTTTTTAAATACTAATTTTATATGAAAATTTAATAAAATATATGAATGATATGATTAAATTTTTTTTTAATATGTAGATCTATATGAGTAATTTTATTTAATAAAAAAATTTTCAATTTTATTTATATACTATGTTAAATTTTTATACATTAGGTATGCAATTTCATTTCTGAAGTCGGTGTTATTATATGAAGGTCAATTTAATTAAGCATGGAAACAAAGAATGTGGTGGCTGGAAGCTCGATGATATTGGAGGGGCGTAAGGATCAGAAATGTAGTAGCGCGGGTAGGGAAAGTTTTTGGTGGCAGTTTGGCCAAGAGGAAGAACAGAGAAGTCACATAGAGAGGAGCACGGTGATTGGTTTCTTGGGGTGGCGTTTGGCGGGAAGGTTCCTGGTGAGGGGCGTTTCATCGAGGCAACCGCAGACCATATGTTTGGGAGGTTGGTTGTTGTCAACAGTGGCAGCGGCCTTGCAGCCCTGCCGTGCCGGAGGATGGAAAAGTCGCCATTGATGGGGGTTCTTGAAGCCGTTGCGTTGGCAATGGTATGCATTTAAAATATAATCTGTTCCTGCTAAATTAATTTGATGGCAAGTAATCACTCCTTTATAGTTTTTATTGTCTCAAATCGCTCCTCATGTTTTTGACTTGTGATGCCCTCTTTGCTCACTCCTACTAGGCCTCACCCTTGTTGCTAATCTTTTCTTCTTCTCCTAGCTGTAAGCCCATGCACCTTCAAGAAACTAAGAGCATATACAATGAAGAACATCATAAAAATTCATTTTTGTTCTACATTATTAAAATTAGTATTATTTTATATAATTCATATTTTTATATATTTTAACCCTTAAATAAAACACCTAAAAAAACATCTCTCTCCAATGCATATAACAAAACTTTCTTAAAAAATCACATCACTATTATTTTATTTTAACCAAATTTTATACATTTAAATAAAAAAATTTGAATTAAAAAATTTTAGAGAAAAGGGTTATAACAGCCGTTGCATTTAAAATCCAATCCGATGGTTGGGTTGAGGTGGCAAGCAACCGCCTGCCACCATCTGGAACGCGCATGTCAGGTAAATCTGACATTGTAGCTCGACTTCAACGAAAAATGATCCAAACAATGTCGTTTTTGTTCTTTTTGGGGCAATTTTTTTTTTTACCAAGCTCAGCTTTGTGCAGAGAGCTATGCTTTGGGCAAATTAGTCACTGTTGGAGTTATCTTTTACCCCAACGTTGCTTCAATTTGTGTTCTGTTCTATTTTGAAAAAGAACAATACAAGTGAGCTCAAGAGCTTTGGACTTCGAATTTAAAATGTTCAAATTAGAATCTTGATTTAAAAAAAAAAAATCTAAAAACTTTTAGTTGGTATGGTAGAAATTTAAATATTTAATTTTGACATCAAATTAAAATTTTGAAATTAATAAATATTAAGTCAATCAAGTTTCTATTGATTCAAATTAAAATATTGCTAAAGTCTGAGCACTTAGGAATTAAGTTGGGGGAAAAGGGTGCAATGGATCGATGAACATGAACAGGCCTGTATTATATCTATTCCATTTAGTGGGAGAAAGAAGAAAGTGAAATTAATTAGAGCATCTCACCAATAATTCTACTTCTAAAAAGCATGTAGAAATAGATACATCAGATTGGTTAAGAAGATGCCCACTAAAGAAGAATCCTAAACCAAAGTGGGAGAGATGAACTTTAAAATGAACGAGATAGAGATACTTTGTTAAGGTTCTCAAAAACCATCTAACACTTTAATTAGTCTACTTTGGACCTAATTTTGTTCTTAATTTTATCCAAGTCTCTTTCTATGCCATTGTTAAGTGGGGAATCCTTTTGTCCGAGCTTGATTTCTGGATGATACCTTTGTCTTTAATTAATACTACCAATGAGTGCAGTTTTTTATAGTCTGTCCTCAATAAAAAAAAACTTTGGGTACGAAAAGATAAAAAAATACCATTAATAAATCCTTGGTGCATATCTCATTCATTGATGACATTTTTGTCTCTTCATACCAAAAACTGATTTCTTTTTCTTTTTTTTTTCTTTTTTTTCTTTTTATTCAAGGTGGACGGTACAAAAACATTTCTAAATACTAACTCTCTTCTCACCATTAAATACTGCTCTATT